ATGGAAACCCCAATCTCTTTCATGACCTCATCTAGGATGGTGAAGGGTTAAAGCACTTGACTCCTTACCAAAAGGTCTGTGGTTCAAACCCACCAGCTGTGCTGAGAGAGAAAAATGAGGCTATCTGCTTTCAGGAAGAGTTACAGACTTGCAAACCCACTAGGTCTGCTCTGCTCTGTCCTCCAGGGTCATTGCTAGGAGTCAGAATCAACTTGATGGCAAATGGGTTAATCCAAGAAGTGACATCATCACTTTTGCTATTTTCATTAGAAGTGAGTCAACAGATTGCATCCACAATCAAGGGGAGGGGATCCCACAAGGGCATGAATACCAGGAGGGGCCCCTTATCACATCCATGCACCCTCAGGTGTTCTGCTCCTGAGATATGTCTTCTTGGGGTGTCCACAGTGGGCTTTAGTGAAGGAATGGCTCACTTTGTCCCTAAGTTTTGAATCACCACTTGGTAAGGGATGAAGCACCTTGGTAACCAGAAAGCCTGGGGTCTGCTGGTGGTAGAAGGCTGGTAAAACTCTGGTGAACTCTGCCAACCACCAAAACTGCATATAAATCATAAACCCAAATATTATTACTAAGTAGGGCTGAAATATCTTACTCCAAAATAGCTCAGTGAGCCATGCTCACAGCATATCATTTCTCGTTAGTTAACAGAATCCATCGTTTTTGGTCAAGGGTCATTAATTCTGATAAGAATTCAGTCAATCCACTTTAGCTGAGATTAACTATCTCATACTGTAATCCACACCTATGATCCTTGGCCAGGGCCTCCTAAAAACGAATCTTTCTTCATCTAGAGTATAATTTGAGGGCTCAGGTCAATTTTGGTGTTCTTTGGGCCCCACATGGGGGTCGGCAGAGCGGACATGCCAGATGAACTGGGGGGTTGGCGGAAGGACTTTGCCAGCATTTGGGCGTTGGTAAGACCCTGGAAGGTCATGTCCCGCCTAGGGCTTTGGGAGATTTAATGTCAGCTGAATCCAGACTCTGGCTCCTTGAGGCATGGCAGGTTTGAGGGCTCAGGGCAATTTTGGTGTTCTTTGGGCCCCACATGGGGTTTGGCAGAGCATGGGACAGAAGGCAATGCTACCAAGCCGAAGGTGGGTGACTTTTAATCTGCGGGCCTGTCTTTCATTGTTTTTGTTCAGACATTCCTCTAGGTCGTATAGCCCTGGTGTACAAGTTGCCATACAGCGGTAACTTGTGGTTGCTGTGAGGCTGAACACCGAGACACTGATGTGTCAAATGTGTTAATGGCTGGTTACCCAATGTGGACAGAGAGTGGGGTGGAGCTCCCTGATTAAAACAAGCTTGGAAGGAGGAGCGGCATCCACTTCCATAATAGCTTGCCTCCGGAAACCCTGTGAACCTGGAGAGAGGATGAGAGACACCCAAGCGTTGAGGACTCTCCTTCAAAAGGTCGCTATGAGTCGCCTGCGACTCCACGGCACTTAACAACAACAGAGGATAATGTTTCAATTTCTTCTAGCTGCCAGGCACTATGGTAAATGTGTCCGGTAATGAGAGAGATATTTGCACCCTAAATTTCAGGAGAGGTAAATGAGATGCAGAAAAGCCATTTACCTGAGGCCACACAGAAGCAAAAGGTGGGAAAGATGCATTTGACTCTGATGTCAAAACTGATAATCTCTACCTATTATCTCAGAATGACAACCTCAATGAATTGAGTGCCCCACAGTAAGTGTTGGAATCCTATCCCCTATACCTATGGATGTAACCCCATTTGTGGAGGCAGAATACCACAGATGCCCTCAGGTTTGATCACTCCTTGAATAAATCTGATAATGTCTAAGGTGACCAGACTAGAGACCTGAACCTGGTAAGGCACTTGGCCTGATCACAAACGTCCACACTCAAGTTCATTAAGAGGACCCAACCCCATCCCAAATTCTGAGCAAAACTCATCTTCCCTAGTCATCCCTAAAACCCCCTACAAAAAGGAACTGTCCTTGACTGCCTGCCCACCTTTGTGGTCACTTGGTGTCCCTCTCAGACCACACAACAAAAGTCTGTTTGTTTCTTGGGACCAGCTTCTTTCTCTCTCTTGCTCTCGTTTTTTCAATCTAACAATTTGGAAAGAGAGTTTTGTTATGCGAGGGAGGCTGTGTCAGCCCAAGGTGTGTCCTTACAACTTAATCATTGTGAGATATAAAAAGAGCAGATTAGGCACGAATGGGGCAATATTGGTGCCATGTGGAGATCTCCAAAGAATGAGGGAGCCCCAGGAAGAAGACAAAATAATTTGAGCCGAGAGTTTCCTCTCAGAGCACACAACCTTTCCCTATAGCCGGTGTCCCCAAATCAGACTTCTGACCTCCCAAACTGTGAGAAAAGGAATTCTGTCCTTTAAAGCTATCTACCTGTGGTATTGCTGTCGCAGCAGTGCTAGCCAGCTAAGAAGGTGACCCCAAGCCCTACACACACCCTCCCATAAAACTCTCATTTCATTGGCATTGAGTCAGAAATGACTCATGGTTGAAGGAGGCTAGAAATCAAATGGGAGGATTGCCTATCATTCTTGCGGGAAGCCACTAGTAGATTTGATCCACCCTGTTGGATTAACACAACTTCCTAAGGACTCTGGGACCAAAGCTCCCCTCCTCCGTAAATGACTTGGGTAAATGACTAAAGCCCTCAGAGTCTGGTATACCAGCAGCATCTTCTACACACTCCCTCCTGTGCTCAGCCACCTACAGTGGATCCAGAGGCCAGCTTGAGGTCCCCACTCCCTTGTGAGTCTTTACCCAGAGTCCTGGGCATCAGACAAAGTCCTGTGCTCCTCCTCGCAGGAAGGTCCTCCTTCTACACCCAAAGCCCATGTTTTCTTCACTGCTCTAAGTCCTCCTCTCCCTGGACCACCACACTGCCAGGCCATCTCAGCTTGGAGTGGTCAGTCCTGTCTCCTTCAAGATCCCCGCCTTGCCCACTGCTATGCATTCTTCAGCACAGAGCTGAGGGTCAGGGATGGGGGCTCTTCCCAAAGTCCTTTCAGTCCATTTGGTCAGGACAAGGAGATGAAAATGCAAACACTTTGTAACTAGCATTTGAAAGGAAGGTAAGATAAAGAGGGATGCCTTGACAGCTAGGGTACAGCAGGGACCAAGATGACCCCTTGCTTCCATCTTTAAACATTCTGTCATGTATTGGCATTTAACTTTGAATCAGCTACTGGAAACCCTATAGAGCAGAATCCTGTGACATCTAGGTTGCTGGAATCAGTTCAAGGTCAACTGGCTCTGTCCCTCTTAGGGCCTGCACTGTGTTATAGTGGCTGTGGCCCATGTCAGAGACCCTCCCTGTGCTTGGGTTGCATCTCTGTGCCTGAGAGCTATTCTTCCCCAGAACTCAGCTAGACCTCCAGGCTCCCAATCCAATCCTTCTGGCAGGTGGGAATGGCAGGAATTACATATATGAGAGAGAGGACTTATGTATATGAGAGAGGGGGGGGAGGGAGAGGGAGATGAAGGAGAGGAGAGGAGGGGAGAGGAGAGGAGAGGAGGAAGAGAAAAGAGGGGAGTGGAGGAGGGGAGGGGAGGGGAGAGTACTTTCAGCCATTGCCTTCAGGGATAAATCTCATAATAAATGAATCTTGTATTATTTCCTAGTGTTTCCTCATGGGATTAAGTCCCAGTGGTCCAGCCTGAAAGCTGGTGTACTCTGATTGGCCACCCTCCCTTCTGTTTTTCCCAACCCAAATGATCTACTTGCATTTGGATCCTAGACTTAAAGAGTCTGCTTCTGAGAGAACCCAAAATAAGGCAACAGGCCTCACTCAACATATATGTCAGGAATAGTCACATAGGACAAACAGCAGTGGGATTATGTTTTTTAAAGTCCCAGGATTTGAAAGTGCTTTCTTGGGCTGGGGTTAGGGGAGAAGGGCATGGCAGGTGCCATTATCGATAAGAGAAATATTCTTTTGGGAACTTCCCAATGTATGAAGTCTGGAGCCTACTTATTCTGAATGCAATGTAAGGACAGAGAATGTATCCAAGAAAAAAAAAACACAAAAAAATTCCCCAGGATATTTGAGCATCTTAGGTCAGGTAGTGCAGTAGACTATGTGTTGGGCTGTCAAAAAACTGGCAGTTTGACTCCACTGGGCACTCTTTTCCTGTTAGGCGTTACAGCCTCAGAAATGGATGGTCACTATGAGTCAGAATTGACTCAAGGCAGTAGGGTTTTTTTAGGGGGTGGTACTAGAGAAGGGGGACTGGGCTGAGCACAGGGCAGAGTTCAGAGCTGTTGTACATAGGGCTGCTATGAGTCACAGGCAACTCAACAGCACCTAACAACATACTTCACGAATGTGTTTACCCATGACACATTTTAAGGTGTTTTTTTGTTAGCTGCTGTTAAAGGGGACCCCATACACTTTAGGATCAGAATGTCAGGATCCATCTGTAGACTTTCCACTGACTTGCTTTTTTAAGAAGCCTTATCACCAGACCTTTATTCCTTGTCTGTCTTTGTGCCTGTTCTGTCATATACCTGTGTGTTCAGCATCATACACACAGGTCACACCGACGGACGGACGGTGGCTATGCAAAGAGTACGCTAGCTGGGATGTGAACCTGGATCAAGGGCAAAGAGGGTGAGAATTCTGTGCCAGGACCACTGTCTCCCTGGCTTAAGACAGACTTTGTCTTCTTGTGGGGAACAGATTATAGACACAAATAACAAAGAGAGTCAGTCCAGTTTGCTTAAGAAAAGGAAGTTTAAAAAGAACTTTGCTCATTACATTGCTTATGTTGTCAGGGAACTGTGACTCCCCGTGGTAGTTCAGGGGCCCGGTGCACAGAGGTGGATTTCTTTACTGTATGGTGTCTACTCCTTTGCTTTTCTTTTTTAACACATAAACATGTGGTCAGGATCAAGGGTATGCTTGTCAGTGTGGAAGGTGACTTACAGTCTGGCAGAAGGGAACTAAATCTGAATGGAGAGTCTTGGGAGGCAGGCTGGCTTCAAAGAAGTGGCGTGAGTGGTTGGCCTTGAGAAGGGGGTGGCCTGCTGTCCCTCTCTGAGAGGTAGGGCAGGTTCTCCACGGTCTCCTCTGCAGCCTGGTCCGAGTGCAAGGCCTTGAGGGCCAAAATCCGGTACCGCTTCCTCCGGTTCACTTTATAGACGCGAATCCTTTCCTTTTCTGCCTCTGGGTCTGCTAGAATCCCATCCCAGCGCAGGCTTTTGTTGATCTGATTAGAAAGGTTCTCTTCCACTTCGGCGGAGTGGGGGAGGCTTGTCATGGAGGGGCACAAGAGCACGTCCTCTTTGTCCTGTTTGTGCTCCAGCTTCAGGCTGTGGTCTCTGCTCGAATTCAGGATGTCCTGAGAGAATGAAGGAGGTGGTTGGCTCTTCAGGTCTCGTCTTTGCTGTTTATCTGCTGAGAAGATGGGCATTGTTAGGAGCCAGGTCTGTGCTCAGCCTGCCTGAATCACAAACATGCAGCAGGAGGCCCCTCTGTACCAACAGCTCGGTGCCCCAAGACTGCTGGGTGCTTTGATTGTGTGATTTGGGGAGAGAAAGATTTATGGCATCCTGCGTATGAAGGCTATCAGTTCATCACTCCCATTTCCCAGATGGGCAAAAACTGAGGTTCCAAGAGTAACCTGCAGATGCCATAGAGTAGATCTGATTCCCATTTCCCTCTTGTTTCTGCTCTGCCATGCTGCCCCTGCCAATGAATCTGTCCAAGATGCTCACCAAGGTCCTTCTCAGTCCCCGGAGTCGATGACTCCACCGCCCGTCTAGACACTTTATGATGGAGGAATGGAGAACTACAGGAATGCTTCCTCACTTTGACTGAGGAAAGTAGTGCTGTGCCAAGCCAGGAAATACTTCAGCTGTGTGGCTTGTACTGGCAATATTTTTTTTTAAATATAAAAACCCCATTAATAGTATTTCAGAATTAAATAAAATGCATATAAATGACTACAGGTTGTGGTTTTCAATAGCTCAGCTTTCCATTTTCCTGTAGAGAGAAATATCCATCCCTTCTACGCACCCCTCTTCTCCCTGCTCCCCACAAAGAGATTTTTACACAAGTCTCTTTTCAAGTTCCTGTACCTCCCTGCTCCCTGGAAACGATCTGGTGTCCCCTGCTGACGGCATGAGGTACACGCCACTGCAAATGGTAGAGCCAGAAACTAAGCCAAAAAGACAACAAATTTCCTAATTTGGTTTTGCTGAGACACAGAGTGGTTTTGACCTAAATGCCAGAATCCCCCACCCCCACTCCTTGTGATTCCATCTGAAGAAGTCATTACAATCTCCTCATTCCCCCTTTGCCAAACTGCAAGGTTGACATGAGGAAGGCGGCCGCACAGCCCTACACAAATGGGTAAAGTCAAACCAAATCTGCTGCTGTGGAGGCGCTTCTGACTCCCGGGACCCTCCATCAGGGTTCTGAGGCTGTCAATCTTTACGGGAAGAGACTGCCCATCTGTCTCCTGGGGAGCAGCTGGTAGGTTCAAACCACAGACCTTCTGGTTAGCTGCCCAACACATTCAGCATTCTAACAGGACGTCTATACAGAAAGCAAGTGATCTAAAATAAGCCCCAGACTAGCCAAGCTAGAAGTCAGGGCAGCTGTGCCAGGGTCAATGAGGGTCACCGCCTTCAACAGCCAAAGCTGCAGAGGTGACAATGGAGACCCACAGCACTCCCAGCAGGTGCCCCAAAGCTCAGTGCTTTTGCCAAGATATCTGGGGTTCGATGGGAGGGAGCTCAGTGAGATGTGGGGACTCAGTAGGTTTGAGGTGTTGATGTGCATATATACGTGAAGGAGGTGTCCACAGAGAGAATAGAGTTAGTGAATGCCATGTATAGGAAATAGCAGGAGGGGCTCATCCCTGTGAATATCTAAGTATATAATGTAGCAAAGTACATGTACAGACTGAGAATGTGTGTGCGCAAAGGGGTGTCTGTGTTTTATTATTTGGTAGTGTTCTATGAGGGATCAAAGCTCTATCAAAGGGGGCCATGAGGGGTTGACCATGAGGTTATATCAAAGATCTCTTAGAATTTAAGAGTACATAGTTCCCCCAGAGTCGCACAGATCGAATCCACCAGATGCTCTGCCGGGGAAGGAGGGACAATCTCCTCCTGTACCAGACAGATCTGATTTGACAGTACACTCACACAAAAATAATAATAATAATAAATAATAATAATAAGAGTACATAGTTCCTAGGTGGTGCGAATGCTTTGCATTCAACTACTAAATGAGAAGTTGGTGGTTCGAGTCCCCCAGCAGTACTGCGGATAAAAGGCCTGGTGATCTTTAATGATTACAGCCAAGAAAACGATGGAACAGTTCTACTCTGTAACACATGGGTTCACCACGGGCTGGAATTAATGAATTTGACTGTGGGAGCCGAGCCTGGTGTGACTGATGTTTGTGTGATCTGAGGTCACCTCTTCCCCTCCTCCCTTCCTGGAATGTATGTGTGTGTACTTCCTAAGTATTTGTATGGGGCCAGGAGTCTGTCCTTAATGAGGACAGAAGGTCTCTAGGCAGATGGCAGGAATCGTGACCACACATAAATGACTGTCCTTAATAGGACGTTTTGTGTCCTTAGCTGTGGGGACTAGAGACTCACTGGGCTTGAGATTTCTGTGGCAAAGGTGTAGATATTGGGAATTTGGAATCTTCAGGTAGGAATGAGGGAATTGAGGGGTTGTCAGCAAGGCTGAGTTGCTATGTGTGGTTGGGCTGGACGTTTCTGTGGGAATGGAGTGTTGTCTGCTGTGGGGGTGTCTCCGGGGCTGAGAGTCCTATGGGTATTAAGAATTATCAGTGGAGATTTGGGGCGTCTGTGGGGATTGGAGGGTCTTTGTTAGAGGTCTCTGTGGATATAAAGAAATCTCATGAGAAAGCGGGGAACGGTGGGGAAGGGGAAGGTGCACTAGAGGACTAGGTGGTCTCTGTGTAGGGTGGGGAGACTGTAGGATTGCAGTTCACCAGTCTATGCTTCCTGGGGAAGGGTCTCTGTGGACACCGCTGGTCTTGATGGGGTTGCTCGGTATGTGTGAGGGGCTGAGAGACTTCTGTTTGGGACTGGCGAGCTTCTCTTTGCAGCTGGGTCTGTAGGTCAGGGTGTCCATGGGTCTTGGACTCTCTCACGCAGGGAGCTGGTGCTGCTGAGCTAGCTGCCCCTCTTACCCTCTCCTTTGCCCGACCCCTTGGTCTTTTTCTTCTTCTTTTTCTTCTTCACCTTCCTTTTGGTCATCTGCGGGGCGCCGCCCGCAATGGGGGGCAGACTAGACCCCTGCCTTGTCACAGCGTCCCCTTCCCGCCGCTCCTCTTCGCCCTCCTCGCCGTACCCGGACACCGCAGCCCCACCGCTGCTGTCCATCCGCCCGTGGGACCGCGACCTGCACTTCAGGAAACTCAAGCCCACCGGCTGCTACCCACCCCGCACCACTCGGCGCCCGCAGCGGGGCTGGGGCCACGCGTCTCCATAGCGACCGCCTCGCATCGCGCATGCGCCGTCAGGAAGCTTCCGGCTTGGCGCCGCCCCCCCGGACGCAGGTGTGCGCGTGCGTGTTTTCGGCCTTGGCAATTTCTGTTACCAACCAACAGTGAAAACGGGAGGGCAGGTCGCGAGGTTCTAAATCCTCGAGCGGCGGTCACACGTCTCATCATGTTCTGTGCGTTTTAAAACGATATTATTGCATAAATCATTGCCTTTTAAATTCATCCTAAAACTTTACTAAAAAGGAGCACTGGAACGGGCTCAGACCTAGAGAAAGTGAAGGATGTAGCTGACTACAGTTTTGTTGTATACATCACCCAGAAGACTCCATGGTAACAAACACATCAGCAATTAATGTTTATTTTCATCTCACCCACCTACTCTGGAGTCTGTTATTGGTCTCTCATGCTCAGTATGTCCAAAGAGACAAACAAATGTATGGTTTCTTCCCAGTCCCAAATTTACTTCTCGCTGTTGACTTCTCTTTGGTTAGCAAAACACCCGGACAGACCAGAAACCAGGGGATCTTTCTCCCACCCCATGTCCTTCCAGCCATTGATACCCTCGCTCTGCCCACCCTTTCTTTGATTTGAATTCCTTCTGGCTTTCTAACTTTCTCTTATACTTTCAACACTTCCTCTCAAATTATCCACACAACTGTTAGGATATACTTTAAAAACAAACAAACCACAAACCGTTAATTTCACGCTTCCTTAAACCCTCCAACAGCTCCCTATTACCATTCATATAAAAACTAAACTCTTGGGTTTGACTTAGAAGGCCGGGCATAATCTGTCTCCTGCATTTCTTTCCTGGTTTTCTTTTAAGCACTTTATTTTCCAAAACTGGCTACACTACCTTCTCATCCCACAGTTGTTTTCTAAAGCTTGCTCTTTTCACATCAAGGAAACTCATCTAATTTCATTTGACTCTAGATGGGCTTGTGGCAGGTATGACAATATGTGTGTTATCTCTATATATCTTTATCTGTATCTCTATATATGTCTACTTCTATCTATATCATCTATCTTCTAAGTCAATTGGCACAACACTATCCACAAAGCAATGCTCTATGTCCTAAGTTGATGAGTAATGATGACTGGAATCTTAAGAGCTTATGAGCAGCCATCTAAGGTGCCTCCCCATCCAGAGCAAAAAAGAGTGAAGAAAACCAAACATGCATGGACATAATTGGACCAAAAACTAATGGGCCCTACACAACTCTGCCTACACACAGCCAGAAGATCTAAATGTCCTACTACTATTACCAACTGCTCTGAAAGAGATTGTGTCAGAAGGTCCTGGATAGAGAGGGAGAAAAACATAGAACAAAATTTTAAAAACATTTAAAAAGAGCAGACTTACTGATGGAGACTGGTGCAACCCCCAACACTATGACCCTTACTTGTCTTTTAGACCTGGAATTGAATTCATTCTGGTGACTCAACTTTCAGTCAAGCAATAAAAAGCTCAAAAACCTCATTGCCTTTCAGTCAGAACTGACTCATAGCTGACTCTTCATGGGATTTCTGAGGCTACAAATGACACAGGAGGAAACAGTCCTATTTCTTGGCAATCTTTTTTGAGGAGCCACTGGTGGATTCTAACTTAGAGAGAAGCGTGGTCTTTGGGTTACCAACTACACCACCAGGGCTCCCCTAGCCACAGAGTATTGTTAGTGTTGAGTCAGAAACAACTCATAGTTGAGTTTCTCTATCTGGTTCTCAGAGGCATTCAATCACACGGAAGATCTTTCTCAGTGCCACTGACAAAACTGCATACCTTTAGGCTGGCAGTGCAACTACTTATCATTAAGCCTCCCAAAAAATAGGTCTATACAGTAAACAACAGCGCTGAAGATCAAAAAGAACAGCATTTGTCCAAGAACAAAATTTAGAGGACTTGAAGGGTTTTGTTGTTATGTGCCGTTGAGTCACTTGCGACTCATAGCGACCCTATTTACAACAGCTCTAAACTCTTCCCTGTGCCAATCTCATTGTCTCCAACACACTCATCCTGATTGCCCCAGTCACTGAATCAATCCATCTCCCAGAGGGTCTTCCCCTCCTGCGCCTACCCTCCACCCTCCCAAGCATGATGTCCCTCTCCAAGGACTGGTCCCTCCTTACAACATGACCAAAGTATATCAGACGAAGCCTCAGAATCCTTGCCTATAAGGAGCAGCCTAGTTTAACCCTCTCCAGGATGAATCTGTTTGTTTTCTTAGCAGTCCATGGCACTCTCAGCACTCTTCTCCAACACCAAAGCTCAAAAGAATCAATTCTCCTTCTATCCTCCCTGGTCATTGTCCAGCTCTCTGATGCATAACAAGTGATTGCAAAGACCATGGCCTGTACCAGACGCATCTTAGTCTCCAGAGACACATCATTGCTCTTGAGTACTTTAGAGAGGTCCCTAACAGCAGACTTTCCCATGGCAATATGTCTTTTAATTTCCTGGCTGCTAGTGCTGAGAGTGTTGATTGTGGAGCCAAGCAGACTAAAGCTGTGAACAATCTCAATCTCTTCACCATCCGTCCTGATGCTGCCAGTTGGTCCAGTGGTGAGAATCTTTGTCTTCTTGACATTGAGCTTCAATCCATATTGAAGGCTGCAGTCCCTGACCCTCAGCAGCATACGCTTCAGGCCCTCCTCAGTTTCAGCAAGCAGGGTTGTGTCATCTGCATAACACAGGTTGTTGATCAATCTTCCACCAATCCTGATGCCACATTTCTCCTCATAGAGCCCAGCCTCCCAGATGATCTGTTCCGCATACAGATTGAAAAGGTATGGAGATAGGACACATCCTTGGCGTACGCCCTTCCCAATTTTGAACCATGCAGTGTTTCCTTGCTCTGTTCTGACGACTGCCTCTTGGTTCAAGTATAAGTTTCACATTAGCATGATCAAGTGTTCTGGGATTCCCATTCTCAGAGTCAGCCACAGTTTGCTATGGTCCACGCAGTCAAATGTCCTTGCATAATTTATGAAGCACAGGT